CCTCTGATGATCCTAAGTGCTCTGAGCAGGATCAGGACTCTAGTTAAACACTCAGCACCTAGTTGTTGGATGACAGAATTTTTCAGGTAATAGAACAGTTGGTTGTAGATGGCACAGCCTAGTCTTAGGCCTGGGAGCTGTCAGGACAAAGAAAAAAAAATCCATGTTGATTGGTATTTTCTCTCAGCTGCAAGAAGTCTTTATCCTGTGGTCAGTGCAGGTAGTGACATCCACTGCATCTGTCCCAGCCTGTGCTCAGAGACTTTCAGCAAGACTGGGTCTGCACGTTTTTTCCTGGACAGGAGGCACCTCCATTCTCAGGTGGAGGATTATTGCACTCTCTTCTCCTCTCCTGAGTGCCTGTGCTGCAAGCAGACCAGGAGCTCCAGCAGCTCCAGTGACCATCCACCTTCATTCCTGCACAGACAATTTTCCAGGGGAGGAGGAGGTTAGCATACAAGAAACAGCTTGGACAGTATGGAGGGAGGACTATCCATTGCCCTAGAGTGGTCGGCAATCCTTCCTTGGGGAAATGCTTTGGTGTAGCCAACCAAAACCTCTGTGCTCACCGCCTTGAACTTAATTTGAAACTCTGGATGGAGTGAGAAGAGACCCCTGGGAGCCCATCTCATGAAATTGAAGTCTGCAGTTCCATGGAAGATGGATAGCGGAGAAAGGCGGGGAGGCGTACTCCTCTGGAAGAATGACACAGAGCCACTGGAGGATGTGAGGAGCAGGGAGCACAGACAATGCCCAGCCAGACACCCCTGCGAGCTGACAAATCAAACCCCCTCAGATTCTGACAATGGAGCGAGAGTGGGTAACAAATTCTCTGCACGGAGCATCAGAGCATGTGCACTGAACATGTGTCTCCAGAAATCCAGCTCATACAATCCCTCTAACCTGGGGCTACTACCTCCTACTGGCTCTCTGCCTTTGGGCAAACTCATCTGCTCTCAGTCTCAGTTTTCACCTCTGTGAAATGAGAAGGATGGACTAATCCCGTGGAGTTTCTTCATCATTATTTTTTTCATTACTGCTTTTCTTTTTTTTCTTAAATGAAATCTTACATGGGCCCCAACATGGAAGTCAGATGAAAGTGGAGCTGTTCTATTTGAAGCTGGGGTGTCTATGAGGTTCACCCTGCTCCCCTGGGGCAGCCCCTAAGACCCCGAGTTTCCTCAGATCCCAACCTAACCAACAGACCTAAGGTTTGGACTTTCAGAAGTGTGAGACAAAAAATTTCTGTTGCTGTAATCCACCTAGCTTGTAGTAGTTTCTTATTGGCAGGCCTAGGAAACTAATATATCCCTCCAAAATTGAATCCTTTTGTCTATATACACCATGGTTGAAAAAAAAATCAACCCTGAGAGAGGGTCTTAATGGCAGGGAGAAAGCAAAAAACCATGAAGTATAGGGGTCAGCTATAAAGCTCAAAGTGTAGGTTTTGGGCAAGAGGGCACGGAAGGAGAGACTAGGAACCCCAAAGGCTCTTTCTGTGCTGGCCTCTGTGAGCTAGGCCAGGCTTGAACATGAGTGAGGATGCATGAGCCTTACCCTTTTGTTCTATTTTCTCACAGGCAAGGCCCTGACGATCATAGAGGCACTGACATTTGCAGCTGGTGCCCTCAAAGATAGGCAGCCCTTTGTTGAAGCAGGGCCCACAGCGGCAGGCATTGAATTCCATCAGGTACTGATCCAAGGCCCGGCGTAGGTTCTGGCGTTTGGCCTCCAGGGGCCCCAGGTTCATGTGTCGAAGCACCTCATGGATAGGCTGTAGCTGTAGGCACAAAAAGAACAAAGAGCCCCTCGATAGACTCTATCCAGTTTCCCAGAGCCCAAGAACTGGTCATCAAGCTTCCGGAAGGCTGCAACATGCCAGCCATAGAGCCAGACACTCAACCTTATCCCACACTGTATTGAACCCTCACAGCCACTCTGTGAAGCAGGTACTTAAGTCCCTAGCCCACAGATGAAGAGGTGGAGGCTCAGGAGTGTTGGAGTGATCACCTCAGGATCATGCAATTGAGTACAAGAATCACTCTGGACCTACTGAAACCTGTGGTCCCTGATCTCAGAGGAAGAGGGGAGCTAAGAAGGCATTTGTGCCAACTCATCTTCCCTCTCCAGCACTTTTAGGAATCAGGAAAAGTGTAAAGTGTAAGTGTGCGTGTATGCGTTGATTGTCAACCTTCGACATAGGAATTAATGCAGTCCTTGATAGGTAGTTATGTTGTCACTGATGGGCAGTGGTTCCATGGATGGGGGAGGGTGAGCAACATTTGCATTTGAGACAACCCATTCTAGGCATGACTGCAACCAAGGTTTCTCACCTTTGGCACTATTGACTTTCCAGCTGGATAATTCTTTGTTGCAATTCCTGTGCATTGTAGGATGTTTAGCAGCATCTCTGGCCTTTACCCACTAGATGCCAGTAGCACATTATTATTTTGAAAACCAAAAATGTCTCACGGGGGACAAAATCGACCCCTGGTTGGGAAGAGTAGTAGTAGATGTAGCAGGGAGCATAGAAGCTGGAGCCAGGAAATCTGGCTTCAAATTCCAGCTCTATTGCTTCCATCTGTGTGATCTTGGGCACATAACACATGAAGCCTCGCTTCCTCATCTGTAAATGAGAACAATAGTCCTACCCTCTGGGTTTATTGTGAGGATGATATTCAATGGATAGGAAAAGTCTGTCACATAGTAAAAGCTAAATAAATTCTACTTGGCTTCTAGTTTTGTGGCCTAGAACTCTTCTCTAAACCTGAGCCTCATTATCTATAAAACGGGAATAATAAACTATTTTCTAGAATTCTTATGAGGATCTAAAGAAGCAATGAATGAGAGATACAATTGCAAAAGGGAAGAACAATATAAAATAAAGCATCATTTTTATTAGTGAGATGCGATGATAGTAAAAGCCTATATTTTTCAAATTTTATATACATATGTTTACTTTCAGCATGCTTATAATGCTATAAATTTTTACACACAATCATAAAATGAAAGCTCTTTTCCAGATCTCTCATTGGACAGGACACTAACCTGAGGCCCTGAGAGGGGAGTCATTTTCTCTCTGAATTCAGAGAGAAAACTGAGCCACACTAAAACAATCTCACTTCCCTAGAATCAGAGTCAATAAAGGGCATTGCAATAGCCTTGAATGGGTTCCTGGAAATGTGTACAGAAAGACCTATGGCAAACAGACCTTGGCCTGTGGTCAGGGGCTTGGCTAAGACCATCAGGCTGGTCATGTCAGGACTGGCTGGACCTGCAGCCAAGAGAAGACGACAACTTACTGGAAATTCAGGGAATTTGGCACCATTGTTAGGAAGTCAGTGAAGAATGGGCTGTCCTGTGGCCCTGGTTAAAGAGGACTTTTCATTCCAGGGAAAGCCCAGGACCATTGGGCAATTTCCCTTTGACCTTCCAGTGAAGTTCAGCACTCAGTCCTACATCTCTCACTTCTCTCTCCCAGAACCCTCAGTAAGAGGAAAGAGAGCACCCCTTAGGAAGGGCTCGTGGAGACTTCAAGAAAGAAAGAGGAGTGGAGAAAAAGAATCTTAGAATGTTAGAGCTTGAAAAGATATTGACAATGGTCTTATTCCCACTTTACAGATGAGAAGATAGATTCAGAGAAGGCAAGTGGTGTGATATAGCAATACAATATAACCTAATACATAACACAATATATAACATAACACAGCATTAAAATATCACATCACATGATTCCTGTATTCAGTCGATCTAGGTATCTGCCATCAATAAGTACTGCTAAGCTCTGGGGATATGCAAGCGAATAAGATACTGTTTTCACTCTCATCATCAGGTTTCAGATAACCCCGTAACAGCCCCCTAGTCCATAGCCTCTCTCCATCTCTCTCTCTCTGTGTCCTTTGATTCATCCTTTATACGTCTGTGAGCATTCTCTTTTTAAAAGCTTACCTGTAGCTGTGTCAATTCTCTACTCTATAGCCTGCCAGCAGCTTAATGCATCGAATCCAAATTATTCAGGGGTCACGTGGGTTGTGATCGTAGGTGTTAGAGTCAATCAGACATGGCTCAAGTTGCGCTCTGCCATTTACCAGACACGAGACTTGGCCAGCTCACTTAACCTCCATGAATCTGTTTCCTCAACTGACTAAGTACCCTCAACTAAGTACCCACTTCTTGCTCTCTAACTTTGTGACATAACATTCTATATCTCCATGTTACGGAGCAAAAAAAACGGGGCTCAGAAAATGAAGTAACTTGTCCAAAGTCACACATCAAAAAGGTTGCTGAGCCATGAACCAAACTATATCTTTCTTACCCCAAACTGACCCAAAGGATAGCATTTGGTCTCCAAACTATGAAGGAGTCTTCCCCTTGGAAGTTTCACTCAAGGCAAACACAAAATTTACCCCTTGCTCATTAAAGTTTATATATTACTCCTGATATCAGTTTTATGGTTTTGCCCAAATTACTAATAGCTTCATGATAGCAATTTTCAGTCCCTGTGTGAATTATAGGTGTGTGAAAATGGTCCTTTTCTTATTGGATAAAAAATGAAATCAGGGTTAACTCACCTGACCACTTTCTTCGCAGAGACAGAGTGTTATAATAGACTTTTATGTTTAACTGTTGGTATATATTTTAAGAGGAGGAATGTATCCATACCTGGAATTTTAATTATATGCAGAAAATGGGCAAGGTTCAGGAGAAAATGAGCAGGAATACAATATTTAAAAGCCCAAAATGTAACTCTTTTTAAATGGATTACCCTTGCATATGAATAGAAGTAGTTTGAAAACGGGTAGAACCATTAATTATTTGCAGTTTGAAAAAAATTTTACTCCCTTTTTAAGGTTAGGGATTTAAGGCAGGGTTTCTCAACTTTGGCACTATTGCCATCGGGGGCTAGATAGTTCTTTGTTGTGGGGGCTGTCCTTTGCGTTGGGGGTTGCTTAGTAACATCCCTGGCCTCTACCCACTAGATGCCAGTAGTACCCTTCCAGTTGTGACGATCAAAAATGTCTCCAGACAATACCAAATTTCCCTGTGGCTGCAAAATCACTCCCAGTCGTTGATAACCGTGGCTTCAAGGAAGGTACTAAAATAGAGGGAAGTGAGAACTAGATATGAAGTCTTAAGTCTGAGATCCAGATACCACTACAAATGAGCTCTGTGACCTTAAACAAATCACTCGAGCATCTGGGGCCTCAGTTTCCTTATCTTTTCGATGGGAAGAATGATGTCCTTGCCAGAGAGGTTCATTGTGATGAGGAAATGAGATGATTTAGAGCAGGGACAGCAAACTACACTTATAGCTTGGAACTACACTCAACCCACAGCTTGTTTTTGTGTGGTCTTTGAGCTAAGAATGGTTTTTATATTTTTAGAAGGTTGTAAAAAAAAAAAAAAGAAGAAGAAAAAGAACTTGTATAATAGAGACTGTATATGGCCCACAAAGTTTAAAATATTTACTATTTGCTCCTTTACAGAAGTTTGTCAACTCCCAATTTAACAGATGTGTTTAAGTCTTTTATGTATAAATGCAAATTATTACTTTTTTAATGTCACCTAATCCTGAAGAAATTCTGGGACTACTAGTGTAAAACTAGGCACTGACCAGATATCATGCTTCTGATATCTTCCATCTCTCCTATGGCCTGGGTCTAAAGTTACGTACTCCCTTGAGTCAGATGTGGGGAGGGTCACCAGTTCACTGTGCCGTTAACATTTAATCTTGTTCTTCGATGGACTCGTAATAAGAAATATTAAAGGATCTGGTCTGTTTCACTTTCATTCCTCGTGGATGAAGAGTTTCTTCAACTGCGAAAAGACTTACCTCAAAATCAATAATAGCAGGATTATACTTTAATGATCTCCCCCAGAAACGATACGAAATGATGCTCTTGTTGTGTGCCAAGCCACCACCCCAGCCAGAATTGCCACCTCGCACATGAGAAATGATGTCTTCCACAGCCATGGCCTTACTGTCGAATTCTACCAAGAGGATAACTGCATTAGCTCATTTCCCCCAAAACCAAAGCGTGGGTTAGCAAGTGCCACTAATGAGATATGGGACAAAGTTTATGTGCTGTCCTTAGAGCTGTCTCCTATCCTTCTACCTTGCTTGGTTAACTAGCAGGACAAAAGAGAAGTGAAGGACCAAGACTTAGAAATAGATCATCCTCTGGATAGAGCAGGCAATGGGAAAACAGCTCAGCCTAACATGGAGGAGAGAGAGGATGGGAAAATGGATGATGATCCATTCATTCATTTATATGTCAAATGCTTACTCAGTGCTTGATATATGGCTCAGTAGGGGTGCAGAAAAAGACACAGTTGGATCTACAATAGGGTAGGGAACTGGTCAGGTAGAAAAGTGAGTTTTCTAGAAAAGTGAATGAATCTTTGCAGGTAAATGGAGAGAGAAGGGAAGGGCATCAGAGAGAAGAAGCAATTTGACTTAAGACCCTGAGGGATGACTAGCCTAATGCAATGGGAATAACTTGAACCTACTTTGTATCTACCTCATCTACTATAATATAAACTCATCATCTCTACGTCCTCTGTGACTCCTATCTGAAAAAAAATTACTCAAAACATGTTTGATAGATGAATGAATGAATATGTGAATACTCAGATTGACTTGTTCAGGAAATGCCACAAAATATTCTTTCTCTAATATTTTTTGAGCTTGGACCTTGGTCACCATTTTCTCCTCTCTTAGGGACTTCTTTTCTCCCTTTGGACTGTAACCTGAGGGGCTTTGATTGCAACAGTCAAATTTTCAGGTTCTGTCTACACATTCCTTTAACTCCAGTTTTTACTTAGATCTTTGTCTGGTACATGAAATCTAGGAGCGTGCACCATACAAAGCCAAGTATTTCTAAGGCGATCTCAGCCTTTAGATGGTGGATTCAATATAGGGCCAGAACAGGTCATTGGTTTGAAATATTTAGCAGCTATGCAGTTTCACCATTGACTAAAATGGAATTAATTATGGGAAAAAAATAATGTCTGTGCCCTGATTGTATACACAAGGGAAAGTAACATTTCTTTTTTTGGAGACTTGTTGCTAAATACTTACCACGTGTGCCTTTTCCATGTTTTCTACAGGAGTTATATGACAAATTTCCTCCAATGTTTACGCTATCCGAATAGTCATAACCAATGCCAACAAACCCTCCAAAGCATGTCTGGATATCTTCACTGGTAATACCTGCAGCAGGGAGACATAGAAACACAAGATATTGAGATGCTAAAACATCATTAATATGATATAGTTCGCTCGCATCAGTAAATGCTAGCTAGCTTTGGTTTTGGAATCTAAGAGATCTGATTTGAAATTCTAGCTCTTCAACCCAATTTCAATGTTCTCTTCTGTATGATTCCAGCCCAAACAATTCTTGAAATGAGAAGCAAAATGTATTACATATACTAGTTACTCAAAAGTGCTAGTTCTCTTTCCTTGACATTCTCCTCTGAGCCTCCTTGAGGCAGTGATTTTCATCCATCTCCATGTACTCCTGTGCCTAGCACAGTGTCTGGCCCATTTTCACTCTGCAATTTTGTACACGCTGCCCCTTCTTTCTCTTTTTGCTCTCTTTGCAAAGTCTACTCAAGCTTCAGTTCAAAAGTCACCTACTCTGTGAAGCAGTTTTGAATCAGAATACTTCCCTCTTCCTTCAGGGCTACCAGTGTGCTTTGTCTGTGCCTGAATGGTAATATTTGTCACAATTGTTTTTGCCCAGGTTTTCTTTGCACCCCAGAGAGGCCAGAGTGCTATTAGAAGATGGATAGATCTCTATGGGGAGTCTGCCTGCCTTTTGACCCCAGGAGTACTCTGAGTCTCATACTAGCTATCTCTGTATGTGTCTACATCTCTGTATTTGTCCCCCGGAGGAACCTGCAATTTGCCAATGAGGAACATAATACTCCAAGCAGTAAAGTCATTTTGCTCTGACCCTACAGCCTGTAAATGAACAGAGCTGAGTTTCCATCCTTTGGTTGGCCTGGCAAGATAAGGCTAGAAAAGTGGACTGGAGTAAGATATTAACCATTGCTACAGAGCTCAACTCCTTCTGCAGCTAAAGTCTTCTGAAGGTTGTGAATAGGAGTTTATATTTTCAATATGTCATTACTTTTACCTCAAACTATATAATAATTATAGCCAGTCATTATATTATTCTGGTAACCACAAAAGAAAAATAATTTAGGCCTGTGATTCAACTGAACTAAGGATTAGATTGAATATTCTCAAGGGAGTGTTCAGCAACAAAGTTTACTTGCCTGCATCCCCATTAAACGGCAAACTCTGTGAGTTCAAAAACTTATATCTTATTCACCACTCCCTTGTCAGCGTAGCAGTGCAATGTCTGCCATAGAGAAAGAGTTCAGTAACTATTTTCAGAAAAATGATTGATGATTGAAAAAAAATAGTTGAGTAAATGAATTCCATGAGTGCATTGGTAAGGACTTCTGATGGAAAGAATCATAGAAGTCAGGAATCCTGAATCAAAAGCAGGTCATGCAGATGAATGGATAAGGAATTTGTGATTGTATGTATGTATGAATGAATGTATGTATGTATACACATACATTCAGCCTTAAAAAATAAACAGACCCTGCCATTTACAGCAACATGGATGAACTTGGAGGACATTATACTAAGTGAAATAAGCCAGGCACAAAAAGAAAAAGACTGTATAATCTCACTTATATGTGGGATCTAAAAAAATCTATATATAGAAGCAGAGAATAGAACAGTGGAGCAGGAGGTGGGGAAGATGGGGAGATGCTGGTCAAAGGGAACAAAGTCGCAGTTATGTAGGGTAAGTATAGAGATCTAATGTAAACCCTGATGACTAAACTTAATAATATTGTATTGAATCCTGGAAATTTGCAAAGAGAGTAGACTTCAGGTGTTCTTATCATACATATACACTTAAAAAAGATATGTAAATTAGCTTGACTGTAGTAAGGATTTTACTTCGTATCTGTATACCAAATTATCATGTCGTATATTTTAAATTTATACAAATTTTATTTTTTTAAAAGCCAAAACAAAACAAAAGAAATCCCAGTCCCTGACATCCTGTGTGAGCTTAGAAGGGGCCCATGATCTCACTGGGTCTCAGTTTCCCATTTATGGGTGGAAGTGGTTGGATTGGTTCATCTCCAAGGCCCCTTTCAGCTGCAGCCCTCTGTGACTCTGTGCACGTCAGTTTCTGAATACTCTTGAGCTGAAAGTGCCTGGGAAAAGTGGTGTTCTAAGTAAGCACCAGCACTCAGGCAAAGGGCTTCTTCTACCATTTCTGTTCAAGTACTTTTAATTTTTAATGCATTACTAATTGGGAAAGATTTAGCATATTTAATTGTTTTGATTTAAAAAATGCTTCAACAGTGATAAACAAAAGTGGATGAAAGGAGTTCACGGGCAGAAGCCAGAGTAATTACCTAGGTGAGTGGTGGAGTGCGGCTGAATTAAAGTGACAGGACTGGCTGATTAATGGGGGCTGGAGGATGCCTGTGGAGTGATTATGCTCATGAGGGTCTGCCGACACTCTACCATGTGCTGCTGGGAGAAGGGAATTCCAGCCAGCTTGATTTGAAAAGCACGACTTGACTGCAAAGAATTACCTTCTGAGGACCCCAGTTTGAATAGAGCTGAGATTCAAACTCAAGTCTGTCTTGCTTAGAAGCCTATTGTATGTCACTTATTTCAATTATTGCATCAGACTAAAGAATTCTGTGTCAGAGAGAAAAATTTACTAAGCACCTACTATGTGCTAACCCCAGCACAGTTTGTGTTTGGCAGTGGAGACAGGGCAAGAATAAAACTAATATGAATGTGATGCAAATCTGAATAAAGGAGGTCCTAGCCTTGGGAAGCCAACAGGTTTGGACAATATTATCAAATAAGGAGTCATTTCTATCTGAGAGTTGCTTGTTTCAGTATAACAGAGCTAGAAAAAGGGTCTCTCCAGAAGTGTGGAGGAAGCCAAATCACTCTACAGAGCACCTGTGGGAAACCAAGACCAGAGAGCTGAGTGGAGGCAGAGAAGGTCAAATGTAGCTCAGGACTTGAAGCTAAGAGACAGAACCAGAGAGAGGGAAGCTAAGAGCAGGGGAGGCAATGAGGGGAAGGAGTAGAAAAAGATCTGGAGCAATTGTGTAACACTTGCCCAGGTGGGGGTATAGCATGAGTGGAATAACTATACTTATAGAACCAGGCAGTGCTCTGTCATGGCTCTACCCCCATCTCATTAGGCTGAACACCTTAGATGTCAACTTTGGACCATCTAGATCACACTGGCATGTTTTGGCTTTTGAACTCAGCGAATTCTGAAGTTGACATTTCCCAAACCTGGCTACTCATTAAAATCACCTGAGTGCTTATTAAAAATACAGATTCCTGGGCCCCACTATCAATTCTGAACCTGTATTTCTGAGTAATCAACAAACTAATTTATTCTAAGTGATTCCTCTGGAGTGCCTCTGGGACCAGATTTTGAGTACCATGGTTCTACAGAGAATCTCAGGTGGCCTGATACAGACCACTGGCCTCAACCCTATCTTCGTCAATACCTTTGAATGCCTTAGATATGGATTTAGCAGCCAGGCTTATTGTTTCTTACCCAGAACAATAAACTAGGAAAAGCCAAGGATAATTCAGATTAAGAATCAGCATCCAAAAAGCGTTTAGAAGCCTGGATGGATAGACTGACCAAGCATAGCAAAATGAGTTTAATTGGAAAAACTAACATACTACCTTGGGGACAAAATACCAAATGCATGAGCTCAGTAAGGAATGGACACCACTTAGTAGAAGAACAAGAGAAAAGGCCACAAAGTTTTAGATAGCTTCTAGTTCAGTAGGGTAATAAAGCCAGGTGAAAATTATGATCAGTAAAGTAAAGGAGGGGATAATCTCACTCTCTGCACAGGTTAGAGAAACTCAGAGCCTGAAACAAAGTTCTGGGAGCCACACTTTTGAAAGTAAATAAAAATGACATCCGTTGGACGTTATTCAGCCTTAAAAAGGAAGGAAATTCTGCCACATGCAACAACATGGATGGACATTATGCTAAGTGAAATAAGCTTGTCACAGAAGGACAAATACTGCATGATTCCACTTAAATATTGTATATGTAAATAGTAAAACTCATAAAATTAGAAAAAAGAATGTGGTTGCCAGGGGTTGGGGGGAAGGGAAGCTGGTCACAGAAGGACAAATACTGCATGATTCCACTCAAATATTGTATGTAAATAGTAAAACTCATAAAATTAGACAAAAGAATTGTGGTTGCCAGGGGTTGGGGGGAAGGGGAAGTGAGGGGTTGCTAATCAATGGACATAAAGTTTAAATTATACAGAATGAATAAGTCCTAGAGATCAGTGCAACATTTTCCCTGCAATTAACAATAACGTACATTTAAAATTATGTTAGAAGGGTAGATTTCATGGTAAGTAATCTTACCACAGTAAAATAGCACTAAAAAATGTAGGAGGTGATTGGAGAAGAATAAACATGAGGATGATGAGGGTGAAGAAATTCAAAGCCATTTCATCGTGGGGATATCTGACAGGACAGGGAATGTTTACCTTAACAAGAGAGGAAAGATCTCTCTTTAAGAGAGATCAATAGAGTTGGAGTCAACTCTACAGAGGGTTGTCTTGAAGAAGAATTAGGCTTGTCTGTGTGGTCACAAGAGAAAGAAGAAGGACCAAGAGGGCAGAAGCTACAGGGAGATGGGGTTAGCCTCAAAATAAGGTAAATTGTCATGATGGTCAGAGGCCAAGGAGATATGAGCTGTTTCCTAAGGCAATGAGCTCCCCATACCTGGAGTGTACCAAGTAGAGGCTGGCCGTTTGCCTTTGAGGCACGGTAGAAAGGTCTGAAATGTTGACCAGTGGTCTTTTAAGGTCTTCTCTAAAGCCAAGATTCTGAAACTTTAAGAACACACCAGAACACTTGGAGAACATTTGAGACAACTTTGAGTAGTACTTAATGATTTCTTACTGTGTGCCAAGGGAAACAGAGGACTGAAAAGAGTGTTTGTTCCTTAGGGGTCAGAGGAAGGATACCAGAGGCAGGTCTGAAAGCATGAGTAGCCAAAGATTAGCCAAAGAGAGGAGGATGTTGAGAGCAGAGGGAGATCATGAGGAGACCTGTGTCCCCAGCAGCAAGATTATGCTTAGGAAGGCCAACAGGACCTA